AGAAAAAGTAGAATTGGGCTGAAAAATCTATCGCTTTATCAGCTATTCAGGTTGTAAATCGTGTTTTTAAAAAGTAACTAAGTAATTAATTACTTTTGAAAATAAGTAATCAGTAAAGTAATGGGATTACCTTTTGGGGGAAGTAATTAGTTACTGATTACTTTTTTCAAGTAACTTGACCAACACTGGTTGTAATACTGAGATATTTTAGCCTTCATATCGATGGATCCTGTAACTCAGCTGCTGAGTCTTTGAACTTTAAGCACCATGTTTCTGGCTCCACACATATAAAAAGCCACACACTGGATCTTGCTTTCTCCCGGGGTTCAAAAACAAACGATGTATGTGTGAAAAATGTACATGTGACAGACCACAGCTGTATATTTTTTAGTCTGTCATTTGTTCTGGATCCTTCACTTCATAAATTGATGATTCAAAGGTGGATTATAAATCACAATCCTGCTGAGAGGGTCCCTGCCTTTTTTGGTGCCAACATGACTCATAGTGACATTCATACATTTATTTTGTCCTTTAACAATGAATGTAGGTCTACTTTTGACCCACTAGGACCCCTAAAACAAAGAATTGTCCAATATTCAATATATTCAAATATTCATTTTGTACTTGGAAAAATGAACATATTTATTATTTTAGGAGGTATTTGTACAAGTTGGAACATTTGTGGAAGGTGTCCAAGCTCCAGCTTCATGAGTTACATGTTAAAGAATCAGTTTCATCACTAAATGACAGGTCAAAAAATGCCAGAATAGACTATTTTTAACATCTTATTGCTTCAGAAAAGAAAACTCTTAAAGTCTTGTTTGATACAATTAACAATTTTTTCTCTCACAATATTCCTCACGTACCAGTGTTTTTAAAGTCTGAGTGCAATAAGTTTTTGCACTGTTTTGTAATTAAGCTAATGATAAACAGGCTTAAGGACATGTTTGGGTTTACTGGTGATGTTTTAAAATGGCTCATGTCATATCTGTCTGGGAGATCTTTTAGTGTTTTTATGAATTCAGTTATCTCTGAAACAACAGTTGTTCCTTCTGGGATACCGCAGGGATCTGTTTTGGGTCAGATTCCTTGTTTGCTTCATGTGATTCCTCTGGACCGAAATATTAGAACTCATTCATGCTGTACAGATTCTGCTAACTGTTTAAAAGAGCAGCAGAACACATTTTTGATCAAAGCTTGGTATTTTATGTTGTATTATATCGATACACGATACCGTGTCCTTGTTTTACAAGAAGAATTTCAATTTTTTATTAATAACATTTCATAATAACTGTAAACTACTAACATAAGTAAGGTATTAGTTTTTAGACTCCCTCAAAATTACAGTTCAGATTAAAGAAAACTTGTAATGACTTTGTCTAATCCCAAACTTCTTCCTTGCTTTGCTTACTGTGCATTTAAAAATCAGCCTTTATGATGACTTTAGAGGACGTGGAGGTGTCAGTTCATCTGTTATGTTTTTTGTTTGTTTGTTTTTTGCTGTTCTGTTTGTTTTGAAGCCCTGACACAATATACATGATTTCCTGCACATGCCTCACACTAAGTACATGTATTATACTGTGGAGTCCAAGTGTTCAGAGATATTTATGGTGAACTACATCAAGACTTCACCATTAATTTTAGGTCCTTTTTATTCTCCTCGAGAAAGCACCTCATTGGTCCCGTATTCATTTTACAACAAGACGAGCTCAAATATAAACATAAGAGTCACAAACAACTACAACCACAATTCCATACAAGATGTTCAAAGTTTAAATAAAAACAATGCAATGATACTTACCTGTTGCTATGTAACCTGATGAGATGCAAAATGGTCCTCCAGCTGTTTCCGTTTGTTGCTACTTATTTCTTCAGCCTTCTGTTGCGCTAATCGCAATGTTTTTCAGAGCTCTTGTTGTCATTGAATTTTTTTTTTCTTAAAATATAAATAAAATGTGTTTATGAGATACGAAAATAGTGTATTTAACATTCACAGTTCAAAACAGTAGTCATATAATATAATGTATGAGCACTGTTTCTGAACTATAAAAGCTGAATTTATAACCAAATTAACAGTTTACCTGTGTTCTGTTGCTCCTCGTTGGTCATCACTGCCCTGCCTCTCCTGCTCTTGGCTGTGGGAGCTCTGT